TATAAAATGGGTGAAAAAGCAGAACTTGCAAGTAGGATGTAAAGCCAAGTTCTTGGAGGTGGGATGGCTGGTGGAAAGGGGACTGGACCAAGACTCAGGATAGCTGGTTTCTTTTTCTGGCTCTGTGACCTTGATCAGACTTCTTCATCTCTCTATGCTTTTATTACTCTGCCATCCTTTTCCTATTTAGGTTTAATCATTTTGGACAAGGGATTATGTCTTAAGAAGGGTTTTCACAGGGGTCTATAAGAACTAGTACACTACCGATAATAATGCCAGTGTTTTGGTTGACATGCAAATGTTTGGCATATTAGCATTTATATCTCATGCCTATGCAGTCAGATAGATAGATCCTTTTATGTAGGAATTGTCCGGTGTCTTTATATATATGAAATAGTTAATTTACTTACTTTAAAATAATTGTTTTGTGTTGTTTTTTTTTCCCCTTCCCAGATGTGTTATGCCCAAATGTCCATGTGGAAGGAGATCGGTTCAAACACACCAATGGAGGGACTGACGAAATTCCAGGTAAAAAGAGATCCTTTTTACCGTGTGCCGGAGAATTTTAATATTGCAACAGTACAACTCATGATAAGACATTGTGGCTCAGTTATGGTTTACCTATTTGACATTTCCTTTGTCAAATTTATATTCAGTAATGGGAAGAAATGTTGGAAACCACCATGCTGGGAGAGACCTATTAGGTGAAAGTGGACAGCAAATGAAACATGAGTTTTCATTGTGATGTGGCTCCAACAGAACTTACTGGAGTAGATAAAGGAAGGTAATGAAGCTTGAAGAAAGTCTTTTGTTTGGCTGTCCTGTAGGTAGTTTAAGCATGTAGTCATTTGATATTTTTAGTGTTGTCTGGTCCATAGAGGTAATAGTGATGACTACTAAAGAAATCCTTATCTAGGTATGTGTATATAATAAAGAGATCCCACAAGAGTGTTCATGTATTGTACAGCATTGGTAGTAAATCAAGATGCCTTTTTCTTGAATTTTTAGCATGAATTTAGCATGTCTTTTTCATCTGTTGGAAGACGGATTTTCATCAGACAGATGTGAGCATAAATTTTCCCTCTTCTATAGCTACCGGTGGCTACTGGAGTTTCTCTCAGTGAGGAGCAGCCCTTGAGGGATGTTCCTGGATTATTTAAGACTGGACCAAGAAGTCTAGCCACAGCTATGGAGGCCACATGGAAGTCACGGAGTTTGACTGATGTAGGGACAGAGTTTGAGAGCCCTGGTACTTGCTATTTCATCTGAGGATTTCTGCTTAATGAAACATAAAGCCTTATGTTGATGCTTGGTCCATGCTGTTAGGCTATTTTGGCAACGGTCCCTCTACACTTCTGACCACATTGGGTGGTAGTGTCCTTCCTGCCCCTTTTGACTTCACTAGTGGAGTCCTCTTCAGACTTCTCTGGAGGAAAATTGCCTTTAAAAACCTTCTGACAGTGTGTCTACATGGCCTTCACTCCATCCTCAGTGCCACTGATGACAAAATAATCCCTGCCTCCTATGCTCCTTCTTTGGTATACCAGAGACTAGTTGTTAGAGAAAGCATACATCTCTCTGTGCCCCAGAGCCGTTCCTGGACTCTCTGTAGTTGGGACAGTGTCTGAGTAGTGTCAGGGGCACTCCCTAGTCATCTACGAAGTCTAATTGCTAGTCCCTGGCATGCCTGGGCAGGCATTAGTGGCCCAGGGTTAGGAGGGAAGCCATGGCCTGAATCTTGTCATAACAGTTGCTGAGCAGTGCCTTACTCTCGGAGTGATTTCAGATTAAATTAGTTGGGCAAGTTACTACTCAAAATGAGTAAGATGAAACCTATCCCCAAGGTAGCACCTGATGTTAAGTGATAAAATGGGATTTTGGACTAGGGTTAAAGCATTGGCAATGCATAGCGGGTGCATGAGTGTGCACGTGCACCCCCCCCTAAGCATGGCGGTGCACCCCCTGCGAAAGGCACTGCCGGCGGTGCGGGCAGGCTGTTACCGTTCTCCACCAGCACTGACACCGCTGGCGGCATCTGCGGGAGGTCTGTGATCGCTGCTGGTGGCATCTGTGGGTGGTTGCCAACCACTGGTGGGCGCTTGCCACCTCCCCGCCACTGCCGACAGCATCCCGGCTGCCTGCGGGAGCTCTCCCAGCCTCCGGGGGCATGCGGTGTTCATGGGTTAAAGGATTGACACAACACTTCATTCGATGAATGACAGAAAGGCTTTATTTACTACAAGTACTCGTGGTTAAATGAGCCTAAAGCAAAGCAAAGTCAAGTATTTAGCTGTAATGTAGTCATTTCTCACTGATCTAGGCAAAGGGCAGTCTGTCTGTCTGGTCCACTTCTCCAGGTGTGGATCCTCTCGCCTAGAAGAAAGCTGGGAGCAGTAGCAGTCCGTGTCAGAGAGAAAGATTTCTTGCTCTTGAAGCGCGCCCTGTTAGCTGTCTCGTTCCTCTTATATGCTTTAAATCAGCATCTTCAAAGCATTCTTGTAGTTGTGTAAATTGAGAGTCTCAAACAGGAAAATCCTGTTAATCAAACTGCTCATTATTGGTTATCAGATAGTCCCAATTTGAATGAATTACCTTCCTTAGTGACAAGAGGTTATCCATTTCTATTCGCTTTGGAAATTATCAGGAACTTGATTAACAACCAGGAAAAACCCAAGGTTTTTGCAGAGCCGTCCTTGGAAGATTAAAGCAACCACTAAGGCAAAACAAAAGTAAATCAGGAGGAAGCAGCAAAACAAGCGTAAATCAGGAGGAGACATCTCTCACATGTGGAGAATGACTCTTCCTGCGCGTAAACACGAGCTAATTGCAAAAAAAAAAAAAAAAAATTGACCATACTAATTAATCACGGATAGACATTTTACACAGCTACATATCAGACAACTAGGAGCCTGCTTAAAACCATCATGCGTATAGTAAGATAAGCTGGAAGTGATACCTCAATATTTCTTCTCAGAAGGACCATCTGCAAAATTTGCATCCTCTTGTTCTATGCAATTGTTATCAGTATTTTGTATTTTAACTTTTGTGAGTAGGACCCAGCTTAGCTTGAGTTTCACAGTCATCACCCATCGAGTGATCTTGTCTACCATGTACTGGTGTAAATGGCTATATGTACCCTTTAGTGTGTGTCCTACTGCTGCAGTGAGTCACCAGGAAACTAACCCCCTCCTTTTCCTTCATGTGACTTTTCAATATGTCTCGTGCGGAGCATTTAAAAAAGAGAGAGAGAGAGAAGCATCCTTTTTTGTACAGCACTTGTTGTGGGATATACTGCACCAGACATGAAGTTTAACCTAGACAGCAAGTTTTCAGTGTTCACTTTCCTTCCATCCCTCCCTTTCCCACCTCCACGTCCCCCACAAATCCTATCCTGGACCAGGCAGCAAGTCAATATTCACTGTTTTCACTTATGGATGAAAGATGACTTGTTTCTCCCACCCAGATTGATAGCACAAGGCAGTCATTTACTAAGCCACTGATTCTCTCTTAACTGTAAAGAGAAAAAGATTGTCAATAGTGTGTGGAGACTTGACAACGAGATTGTTAAAGCAATGGATTACAGTAGCCTCTAGCCTTTTCTACGAAAGGGTAACTCTTAGAAATGGTTTGATGGATTTTGAAATGGCAAAGCTGCTCTTGCTGCAGTTGGTGACTGAGAAAATGCCTTTCCTTCCTGGGACCTATGGCCAGCAATGTGGTGAGAGTTGCTGCAGGGAGATAACACACGAGGCATTCAAGCTACTGGCCCTGTTGTCTGGCACTAATACCAACGTGAGTCATTGAGTCCTGCTTGCCAAACCACTTTGGTATAAGGCCTGTTGGGCTTGGTGCTCTTTCTTTCCTGGTCTAAACTAGTCTGTGACGTTGCTGTACTGCGTGCTGCAGTAAAGGAAGGCTGTGTCATGTGTCAAAGTTGTCTCCCGTTAGTCATACAACCAACTCCTTCGTGTTAATTAGGGTGTTCCACCTCCCGCACCTCTGATCTCAACTGTAGTAGTGTGATATGGGGAGGAAGGGACTGGCCCCTGGTAACCAGGCCCTAATTTGGTTAGGGTTTTATGGGTTAACCTAAGTGCCTTGTTTTCCACTTAAGAATGTATTGCCAGGCAGTGTTGATCGCGGGGCACTGTGCTTCTGACACAGCTGCAATAGCTACATTTTGCAGGAGCTTCAGTTCCCTAAAGTGAAGCCCCGTAAAGAGTACATTATGGCTTATTTGATTTTGAAGTGTCAAAGGTAGGGATAATTGTATTAAAGGCCAAAGCCTCTTGGATTGCAAAACGCTCTCTCTCTTTCTCTGTTTTGTTGCCAGAGAAAGGGACAGTAAGGGGAAGTAGAAAGGAGAAAGATAGAAATCAAGGATTTGTGGGACTTTATCTTACTAGGAAAGTGCCCATCAAGAATGACGGATGGGTTGTGAGAATAGAGCGCCACCACCCACTACTGCTGCCACTGTGAGTCTGACCACACACAACCCCCCCCCATCCCCCGTGTCTGGCCCTGGGAGCCCCACCACCTGACACCCCCCCACAGCCATGTGACACACACCCCTGGCCACCCCCACCCACTCAGCCACATGCACCATGCACACCCACACCCAGTCACCCAGACTCATGCCACACGCTGCACACTGCGCACACCCAGCCACAGCCGCACACCACGCATACGTGCCTCGCTGCCCAGCCCACCCCGCAGCAGGACTCACATGGCGCTGCTGTCAGAGCAGGGACGGTGAGTGGGGGGAGCAGAGGTTGAGTGGAGGCCACAGCGGCAGCCACCCGTGCCTTGTGCACAGACTGGAGGCCACGTGCCCCCCCCGGGGCTCCCTGGCACTGCCCCTGGAGGGGCCAGTAGGCTCTGAGTGTCCCACGGCATGGCACAGCTTGGCCGGGGCCACATTCACCAAGACTGGGGCCTTGGCCAGGCCATGTTATAGGGCCACTATGGCCCAGTGGCTCATGCAGGGACAGCGCTGGGGAGCCCAGGGGGTGGTGTGGCCCCCCCACCTGGTTCCCCCCAGTGCGCACAGTGGCAGGAGCTGTCTGCCCCCAGCTCTAGAAGAGATACCAGGCTCCCATGGCCCGCAACCTAGCCTGGCCAAGTCTGAGTGGAGACTGCCCCCCACTGGGTACAGCCTCAGCCCCAGTCCCCCCCAGCCTTTCTGGTGGTGGCGGCAGGCCGCCGCGATCCTTCCCCCCCTCCCCCCCCCACACTTCCCAAGTGCCATCCAACACCCTGCAGCCATGCCCCCTTCCCCCCCAGTGCTCCTGGTGGCTGCAGCTGGCAGTCACTCTCCATGGGGACACAGGGCTGCAGTGTGCTGCATGGGGAGTGGGCATGGGGAGCATGCCCCACCCACAGCCATGTACTGTAGCTGGTGAGCACCAGCTCCCCATGCACCTTGTGTGCCCCACAGCTGCAGCTGGTGGGCAATCACTGCACGGGAGGTGGGGGGAGCATGGCACATGGCTGCAGGGTGCTGCACGGGGAGTGGGTGCAGGGGCTGC